GGCCCCGCCTCTGATTGGGGTGGTGGGGGCTGATCGTGGGTGGGGCTGGCCGGGGGGAGGAGCTGAGGGAGGGCTCCAGGGCATGTCTGGCCCACCTCACTCAGTCTTGATTGGCCAGACCCCAGCAGCAAGCTAACTTATCGATTGGAGCATCTGCTGGTCAGTGCATGTCATAGCAACTGGTCTACCAGTCGGCTGTCTGCTCCCTGGTGGTCAATGCATGTCATAGTGGGCGGTTGAGTGGCCTTAGCATATCATTAGCATATTATGCTTTGATTGGTTGAACGGACAACCGAACACTTAGCATATTAGGCTTTTATTATATAGGATAATATGAGTATGTTTCCTATTGTGTAATGAAGAACATTAGAGAAATAGCATACCTTTGGTATTTAAGATATAATTACAATTGTTGCACAAAATCTCTACATGTTATGGACTTGTACATTCTCACTGTAAAATTTCCTTAAAGGCAAGAGTTTAAGTGAAAAAGAATATTGTAAGGAAGTTTCTTACTTCAATGTGTTATATACTTCCAATTCTTTTTCGGAAAGTTCCTTTTTCAAGTTTCCCAAATGAAATGGATTTGGAAGAGTAGACTTCTTTTTGCTGACCTGAAAAATACAGTTCAGTAGATTAGTTTATGCCTAAGAATAGAATTAAATAGCAGAAGTAATGTAAAAACTAAATATCCTTCTAGAGAACTATTTACTATTTTGCAATGTTACCTTTAAATACTTTCAATGCTAACTTGTGCCTCTTGGCTTATCCTTTGCTGTCAGAGACCCCAGAGCCATGTCATAGAAGGAAATGAAAGTTCTCCCCAAAAACCTTCTACCACAGCCATTCTGGAGCCTTTACCAAGTTTTGTTATAATTTATATGTATGTGTATTTGTCTCCCTCTCCAAACTGCACTCCTCAAAGGCAGGGGCTATATGTTATTCATCATTGTATCTATCTCTTTTGTGTAGCATAGACCTGGGCAGATAGTAGGTGTTCAATCAACAGTTGTCGAATAGCTAAATCTTAGAGATTAATTCAGGTTTTTTTTTAGGAGTTGTTCATGGCTTCCTAATTCTTTCCAAATATCCTTAAACTTTATTTCCTACCAATTTCACTGACTATGATAATAAGTACAGTACATATGTGAACACTTCCTAAATATATCCACTTAGGGCTCCAAGAGTGCTCTATTATTTGGAATTAGGAGATAAAATCTATGGCTATTTCTGCCATGACACGCAGACTCTCATTTTATTCCTGCCCCTTCTCAGACTTCTCCTTCGTCATGCTTCATCACCTCCATCCACTTAAATGACAACTTTTAAAAATGTTTCAAAAAAGCCACGTCTTTAGGTAGAAAGCCTCCCGGGGTGATTATTTTGACAATCATTTAGATATAATATGGCATTTTCATGGAAAAAAACATGCATAAAGTATGATAAATAAGCAGTCTGAAAAACGAACATTCTCTTTGCTTAATAGTCTCATTTTCAATTCTTGATATGGAGACCAGACCTTCACAGGTGCAGATTTTTAAAAATTTATATAAACATAGAACAAGACACACACATATATTTTAAGTTACTGATTTTCTTTTTGTTTTTGCTGAACATTTTATTGGCTATTTAGTCAGATGAGCCCCCAAACTCCCCATAACTAGGCCGTTCCCTATTAATATCGTAAATAGAGAAGACTGAGATGAACAGGGAAAGCAGGGTTAAAGTTTCCCTTCTTGTCAGTAGTGTCGAAGTAGATGTCCTGAATATTACTTATTATTTCTTATTCTTTTGGGTTCTAAATCATTGGTTTCCCAACAGTGACTAAAACAACCACCAGTTCAAATGAAGAATGATCTGCCATTAAAAATTCTATTAAAAAAAAAACAACAACCCAAAAAACTCTTCCACCCCAGCCGGCATGGCTTGATTCCTGGTCAGGGCACATGCCTGGGTTGCAGGCTCACTCCCCAGTGTGGGGCATGCAGAAGGCAGCCAATCAATGATTCTCTCTCATCATTGATGTCTCTCTCTCTCTCTTTCTGTCTCTCACTCTTCTTCTCTGAAATCAATAAAAATATATTAAAAAATCACTCTTCTCTGAAATCAATAAAAATATATTAAAAAATTCTATTCCAATTATAAAATAAGGACTGGAAAGACAGCTTAGCTCCCAGAATGTACACACTTGAACGCACACACACACCTTAAGCAAGGCCCCACTTTCTTCCAAGCCATCGGATTCTTTTTGCCTCCGTACTGCATCTGGCGTAGTGTGGGGGCTCGGGCCAACACCTTCTCCACCTTCACAACCACTGTCAGATCCTCCACTGCTTCGGGAAGGACTGGGCTTACGTGTTTTTAAGGAATAGTCACCAAAAAGAGTTCTTCTGCAGGTTGGAGAGGTTGCTGCTTTGGAAATACCTTGTAGCCTACTGAGGATAGGAGAGGTTGTCAAACAATCTAATTTTTCATGTGATCCAGCAAGGAACCAGTCAGCACAAGATAAGCAGGGGCTTGGAGAAGATGCCAGCCGTTCATTTATGCGGCCACCTACTCCTTCCAGCTGTTGAAGAGTTGTTTTGACCTGATCCACATATATACAGTCTGGTCCAGGGTTCCCAATAGCTTTGGATGAGCAGCCTCCAGCTTCTAATAGTACACACAACATATAATGCCTCTATAAGAAAAAAGTTGTTAGTATAGATTTAGCTACATGAAGATATTTATATGCAATATGCATGTATCAATTTATGAATACTGAAGACATATAGGCATATGGCATAACCACGTGATGATTATTAAAAACTCCTCCCTCCCCTTTCCTTCTTAGATATGCTCAGTGCTTCTTGATCACCCTTGAAAACAAATCTCGTATTGCCTTGTCCTGATACACCATCAGTCACTACTTAGGCACATGGAATTCCCTAAGGTAGTTTTCTAAGAGCCTCAATTACTAGAAGTCCTTTCATTTATAATCACATATTTATTCTGATTCTATGTTCTTTTTATGTCTCCCTCTATTTCCCAAAACAAATCAGAGGATAAAACCACTATAAAAGTGGGAACAAGCCCAGCCAGCATGGCTCGGTGGTTGAGCGTCGACCTATGAACTAGAAGTTCACAGTTTGATTCTGGGTCAGGGCACATGCCTGGGTTGTGGGCTCTATCTCCAGTGTGGGGCGTGTGGTCCCCAGTGTGGGGTGCGCAGAAGGCAGCCGATCAATGATTCTCTCTCATCATTGATGTTTCTATCTCTCTCTCCCTCTCCCTTCCTCTCTGAAATCAATAAAAAAATATATTTAAAAAATGGGAACAAAAGATCTTAAGAACCTGCTAAAATCTTATCCTGGGTTTCATTAATATTTCTCCATGGGTATTAAATGGATGCTAAAAAAAAAAAAAAAGGAATAAGGGGCATGTAACATTTTCTTGAATACTGATGTTGGATATGTTCATAATTTTAAATGATCATATTTGTGTATTTATTTACATAATAAATGGCAAAAACAAAACCAAACAAAAAAAACAAGAAAGAAACCAAGGCAAACTCACCCAGCCAACAATTAGCAAAAAATATCTCCCTTCAGGTTCCGGAAAGACTTCAGTGTTTGAATCTGTAGAAGGTTGGAGGTGATGTCGAGGAAACACTTCTCTCCATATTACCAACTGACCAATTCTTTGTTTTGCTGCTAAAGGCAGTAGGCCATAGTGGCGACAATATATGGCAATATCAATAAGATCATCCTTAGGCAAATGACTGCATATCAAATAACCCTTGAATTTAACCACAAAGAACAAAAATCAACCAGTGATATAAAGCAATAATCCCATAATATATTTCTAAGAGTTTTATAGGTACTTCTTCAGTTGGCTTAAAATATTCCAGTTTTAAGACAGAGTAAAAATAATTCCCTCCACCCACTGAGGTCAAGTAGAGATCAAATATTTATGATAACTTAAGTCAACAGGTAGACGGTAGCACAAAACAAGATCATCTATGAGTAGTATAAGCCTGAATGGCAAAAGTAGAATAGAACTGAATTCTGAGGATGGAAAGCAGAGAATGAGGAGTTGAAAAATGAAAACACTTAAATTCAACTGACACCTAACTTTCTTTAAAAAAAAACCCATTATTTTTATTGCTGACATATTACTGATGTCCCCATTCCTACTCGACCCCCCACCCACCCCTACGCAGCCTCCCTTTCCTCTGACCATCACTGCACTGTGTCTATGGGTTATGCATATACTAGAGGCCCAGCGCACGATTAAATCGTGAGCGTGTAGGGTCCCCTAGGCCTAGCCTGCCATCAGGGCCATGTCTGCCGCCCCGTGACGCCTCACACGCTATGCAGATGCTGCTGGAACCCCGCGACGTTCCAGGGATGCTGCCGGCGCGCCCCACAACGCTCTGCCGATGCCCTAGGGGGTGGGGAGGGCCCGAGAGGTGCTCCATGCACCTCCTGGTGGACGCCTCACACGCTATGCGGATGCTGCTAGAACCCCTCGACGTTCCAGGGATGCTACAGGCGCCCCATGACGCTCTGCGGACATGCCGGTGCCCTAAGGGGATGGTGGGGGGAGGGCCCGAGAGGTGCTCCATGCACTTCCTGGTGACCGGTCATTTGGTCGTTACCGCGTTACCGTCATTGGCCTTTTATAATATAGATGTTCTTTGGCTAATCCCTTTACCTTTATTCATCCATTCCTGCCCCTGTCCCCCCTGACAGCTGTTAGTCTATTCCGTGTATCCATGCCTCTGGATATTTAACTCTTTATGTGGAAGTTAACTATTTAACGTTAAAAGATTTATTAAAAAGATGCATAGTAAAAAAAAATAAAAAAATAAAAAGATGCATAGTGAGTCTAAAGATAAGAAACAAGCATACTACTGCAAAAGGAAACCAGAAACCACTCTCCCATATCTTACACACTTGGTTCTTTGAGTATAGTTTCTTCTTTACAAATTTATAAATGCTTTAGAACACAATGAAACCAGAAATATTTATTGTCTAGGTACAAGTTTTAAGATCTTAATTTTAGGGTACCTACATTCAGAGGAAAAGAGATAGATACATTTTTCATGTCTGCAAAAGTTTGAGAAAATTTAGGTCATATAGCAGTTGGACATTTATAAAGATTAAAGCTTCAACTTACCTTGTAAAACAAAGAAGACCCTAAAATCGTATACAGCCGCCTCATGTCATAGTAATCCTCAGACTGGGTGGGGGAGAAAACCACAGTGGATTAAAAAATCCTAGTTAAGCAACAACAGTTAAAATGGCAATTATATCTTTAGTAACTGAATTTTCCACAGCCTTTATTAGAAATCAATATACTAGGATATTAGGGTGAAAGGTAGTGCGCAAAGTAAGTATTTTGATTTAAAACAGTTTTATTTTTGTTTCTTATAAGAAACTACTGATTAGAGACATCTAAAAATAAACATAAGATTTCTTACACCACGAGGGATTAAAATAAATGTATCAAGACAAAAAGCATCTACCTACACATCATCTATGATATTTAACATTAACGTATATTATTTTTGATAATACAAATTGGTATAACCTATTTGAGGGCCACTGTGTGGTATGTAAAAAAAATTAAAAAACATACACTTTTTAATAGAATTATTTGTAATATGCAAAAATTGGAAGTGATTTTTTAGCAAAAAAGAATGGTTAACAAAATTAGATATATAACACAGTATCATACCTGAGTAGTCACAAAATGTTTTAGAATATACTGTTTTGCAAAGAATGCAAGCTGCAGAACAAAATATCACTATGATCTAGTTTTTGTTAAAATGGCACTCCTGATGATACATGTGTTTATTTTCAGGCCCTAATCTGGATCCAGTCATTTCCCTTAGGAGTCATGGTTCTTTGTAGCAAGAAATATTACTTATGCACCATGGCCTGGGTGCGAGTGGTCTTCCTTATTACTGGGGATGGTCACGATTTCTAGGCCTTTTCCCTTAACAGAACTAGGAAACACCACTTTTTTTTTAAAGATTAAAAACCATACTTATACTTTCAATTTAAATCCAGATCTACAGGATTTTTACTTAATTTAATCAATATTACATGTATATCCTGTCTCACAAAACCCAGTTCTTAATGATACTGATGTAATTAATCTTTACATATATGTTATGTAACAAATATTTTTTTATAAAATATTTTTATATATTTCAGAGAGAAAAAAAGAGAGAGAGAGAGAGAGAGAAAGAGAGAAACATCAATGATGAGAGAGAATCATTGATCAGCTGCCTCCTGCACGCCCCACACTGGGGATCGAGCCTGAAACCTGGGCATGTGCCCTGACCAGGAATCAAACTGGTTCATAGGTCGATGTTCAACTGGCCAGGCACAAATATGTTCAACTGAGTAGAAAATCTTAAGGTAAGCAAAACAGACTTTGCCCTTGTCAAAATAGAGACCTAATGTTATGTATTTCAAGATTATTGCATGCTCACTTGCAATATTTTTAGAATGACTGATTTACAAAATGAGAAATCAAGACTGTCTTTCCTAAAACTCACTGCTTCTCTTACCAGTTCTGCAAAATCTGCAGCCTCCAAGTCACTCAATGCTGTGTCTAATTCCATCTGTGTGGGGGAGAAAGAAGAGTAACACAAACAATTAACTGATAATTACTTTCAAATCATGGCCATATAAAAGTGTTTAATAATTACTTAAAGAACTGAATAAGTATCTTTTTCCTTTGTATTATTTAGGAACTGTCCCTCCCAGCTGGTGTGGCTCAGTGGTTGAGCATCAACCTGTGAACCAGGAGGTCACTGGTTAGATTCCCGGTCAGGGAACATGCCTGGGTTGCAGGCTCGATCCCCAGTAGGGGGTGTGCAGGAGGCAGCCGATCGATGATTCTCTCATAATTGATGTTTCTATCTCTCTCTTCCTCTCCCTTCCTCTCTCTGAAATAAAAAACAACAACAAACATGTTAAAAAAACAAACAGTCCCAAATAGAATATCTTGTTTTTAAGCTTTGCAATTACAAAAAAGTTAATTTAACATATAGGCATTTTTCAATTAAATCACAATTGAAAACTAGGCTTCCCTCTGAATTCAATATAAGATAATTTATGAGATTAAAAAATTGCTTTCAGTTTTAAGTTAGAAAAATTTTTAACATATTCAAATTCTTAGAGGAAAAATCAATCAGAATGTAGCTAATCTATTTTGAGTTGTTTTTATTTTTCTGTTTCCTATATATTTCTCAACAGATGGATTCTTAGAAAATATCAACATTCTTCCCTGTCTCTCTCCTATCTATCTATATATTTAAAAGCCTAAGTGACTGGCTGGTAGTTATGACACACAATGACCACCAAGGGGCAGATGCTCCGACCAGTAGCTATGATGCACACTGACCACCAGGGGGCAGACGCTTAATGCAGGAACTGCCAAGCTGCAGAGGGAGCCCGATTCCGGGTAGCATCACCCAAGAACTGCCCTCTCGCAATCTGGGGCCCCTTGGGGGGATGTCAGAGAGCTGGTTTCAGCCCGATCCCCACAGGCCAGGCCAAGGGACCCCACCTGCCAGAGGGACCCCGCTCATTCCGCTGACACCCTTTGAGCCTCAGCGCCGCCTGTGGGAGGTTGGCTCCAGGACGTGTCCGGCCTGTCTTGCCCAGTTCGCCCCGCCGGCCACCTTCTAATTAATTTCTTTTCAGTGTGCAGGAATCCGTGCACCGGGCCTCTATTGTTTTGTATAAAAGGACTGTTAATAATTATTCATGAATTAAAACAGGAAGGCAGGTGTTCTCTTGAAATCTGGCACAGCTTATCTACCCTACAGAGTTATTAGAAAAATATATTACTTAGGATTTAGTTTCTGTTTCTATGGAAATTGCCTAAACTCCTTCATGAATTTTTTTCCTCCCTAAAGCCTTCACAATTTAAAAACAATAAACTTAGCAGTTTAATCTGTAATGCATATACATGAATTAAAAACTATTGGCAATGAAAGTTTGTAGCATATATGCTATTTGTGAAAAATAATCCTCTAAAAAACAAGTCCAAGACACTCTCTGCAGGACTGTTTCACAAACTGTGTCTTTACTGAGATGACAAAAGCTTTGGAAACATTAGTCATGCTTTTTATTGCTTTTCTTAACCAGACTTATTACTCATTTGTGACCTACATTTTCCTGCATCTAGCAAATACTTCATGCTCTCCTTTCTGCAGCTATAGTTTCTCTTGAGAAAAACTACAGGACAAAAAGAAAATTACCCACTTGTGATTTTTTATTTCAGAAATGTTACTTTTTAATGGGTTGCTGTTCCTGCTATAGAACTCAATATATAGGCTAATGTACAAGGTTATTAGAACTGTTTCCTCATATTCCTTAAGAGAAAAGGTAAAGTATCTTTTCTCTTAATTATTCCAGTGTGCCTGAGGAAAAATGATTTTTTTAAAAAACAGAACATCTGACAAAAAAACAAAATAAGGAAATTTTCAAACACCTGGGAAGAACACTGAAGACCTCATTGTATACTAAACTCAGAACAAGTTAAGTTTTTTTCTAAGTTAAAATAACTTTCCACCTAAATTTATTAGGTATAAGTAACCTCACATGCATCTGTTTTCAACTATATATTTGTAAAATTTATTTCAGAGAAAAGGGAGAGAGAAACATCTATGTGAGAAAGAAACATTGATCAGCTGCCTCTTGCATGCTCCCCAACTGGGAATTGAACCTGGAACCTGGGTTTGTGCCCTGAACAGAAATCAAACCTGACACCTCTTGGTGTACAGGACGAAGCTCCAACCAGCTGAGTCATACTGGCCAGGGCTAGATTTTTTGAGGCATAAAAATCCTTAATATTTTTCATTAGAAAATATATAGTCACTAAACACTAATATATATTTTTTAACACAGTAAGCAATTTCAAAGAGAAGTGTGTAAATTATTTGAGTTTGCTGGTAATTTCAAGGGCTAGTATTTAAAACTTTACATTCACTAGAGACCTTTAGATCACTTTACAGAAGATGTCTATCTCATTTTCCAAAAATTTTGTTCTTACTTTTCTTAACTAGACTAAAAAATATAGAAAAAGTCTAAGCTATGTCCTCAGTATTTTCTGTGTATTAATCTCACCTACCCAACTGAACTGTGAGAATCCAGAGGAGCCTTTCCTGGATTCCCCAAAACATAACACAAATCCGAGTAGCTGGCACAATGAAGACGGATATCCAGACAGTAGTGTTAGACTTAACAAGGATAGAAGCAACTAAAAACAAGCAACTGGTATGACTTGAGGCAACAAATTAAAAAATATACACCAGAATTCACAGAGTGAGATCTCAGTTCAATATTCTTTTAGGTTGAGATAAATAAAAGCATTTAATAAAATGTATGCTAAATTAAGAAAAAATGCCAATAAGAAAACCAAATTAAGAAAAAATGCCATTAAGAAAGAAATCTGAATATAGGAGGTTGCCTTCATGGAATTTATAAGTCCAAAACAGGCTCTATTTTAAAATGTCTTAAACTTCTTAGGGGGAAGATAATATTTACTCTTAATGTATCCAAAGTCTAAAGACATTGTTCCCCAAAACATTAAACACCTCTAGTCTGGCAGATCTCATGAAATTGCACTTTCTGACTCACAAAATTGGCCTTCTGTCTTTCAGAAGAGAAAAGACCCCCAAATGGGCATACGACAGACTTTGGAGCCAGTGTCTTTCTATCTTAAAGGTAAAGTTTTCTATTAACTATCTGTCTGTCTATATTGAACACTTATAATTTCTTATGAAAATACTGGTGGAGGTAGAATTATATGTATATATATCACAAACTTTTTAGTTTTTACATGAAAATGATAATTGTTGGCCTGAGATATCAAAAATTGCAGCAGCAGCAGTTGACAAGACAGAGACAAAATACGAGTATCAAAAAGTAAAAGTTTCGCCGCCGCTGCCACGGCTGTGCGCTGACTCTCTGGAGAACGAGCATACTATCTGGCCATGGCGTCTGTGCCCGTCCCTCCTCTCCCAGGTCTCCTCTCTACTGGAGAGGCATAGGAAGGAAACCTCTGGTTTCCCCGAGAGAGACGCAGAGCCCATGGTTGGCCGCTGCCTCTGCCGTGTGCTGGGTGTGCAAGTACCAGGAGAGCAAGAACTCTGGCTTTGCTCACCTTGGTGTTCCACAGCCTAGCACAATGCCTGACACATTGAGTGTCACAGGCAACTCATCCTATTCTGGGTGATTTTGCAGAATCCATGGTGCCAGCCAACATCCATGACCCCACAGGTATTCCCCTTTCCCGAGTGGTCCAACCTAGGTCTTTTCCCAATAAGGATAGATCTTGTGCAAGAATTCTAGTGCCAGCTATTAAAAGAGAATTGGAGTGATGACTTCATTGCCATGTTTTCTGATTCCATTAATACTGGAATAAGAGGAACATGCGGTCCCCAGTCTTGTCCCATAGCAGATAGAATGAGCAACTAAATCGAATAACATTGGCAAAGTAGACACAGCTGGTGAGACAATTCGCAGCTGGGAAGGGTAGAGGATGCCTGGAAAACGCCCAGGGCACCGCGACCACGCAAGCAGCAGCCATGTGAGCAGCCTGCCCCCGTCCGAGGAGTGGCAGCCTCACGCGGCCAGCCCCCATCAGAGCAGCAGCAGCTGCGTGAGCTGCCCGCCCCCGTCTGAGGAGCAACAGCTGTGCAAGCAGCCCGCCCCCCGTCCGAGGAGCAGCAGCCTCACACACAGCCCACCACTGTCCGAGAAGCAGCAGTCCTGCAAGCAACCTGCCCCTGTCTGAGGAGCAGCAGCCTCGTGAGCAGCCCACCCCAGTCCAAGGAGCAGCAGCCGCGCGAGCAGCCTGCCCCCATCCAAGGAGCAGCAGCTCCGTGAGCAGCCCACCCCTGTCCGAGGAGCAGCAGCCGCATGAGCAGCCCGTCCCCGTATGAAGAGCAGCAGCCCTGTGAGCAACCTGCCCCCATCCGAGGAGCACCAGTCGTGCGAGCAGCCCATCCCCTTCCAAGGAGCAGCAGCTGCACAGGCAGCCTGCCCCTGCCAGCCAGAGGAGCCACCACTGCTGTGAACAGAGCCCACCATCAGAGCCACCGCCAACTGAGGAGCAACCTCTGCTGCAACTGCCTGAGGAATAGCCGCCGCCTGAGGAGCCACTGCCGCCCAAGGAGCAGCCCCTGCTCTATTCGACATCTAGATCCTTCAGTGAGAGCAAAAGTGGAAAGACAAAGAAACCCACAAAGGAAAGAAAAGGAGGAATCGCCAGAAAAGCAGCTAAGTGAAACAGAGGCATGCAATTTGACAGAAAAATAATTCAGAATAAGGGTCATACAGTTCATAAACCAGAGGGATGAAAAAATTAACAACTTATATAAGAACCAAGAAGAAATAAAGAGTGATATAGCTGCAATAAAAAACACCATGGAAAGTTTCAACAGTAGACTAGGAGAAGCGGTGGACCAAATTAGCAAATTAGAAGACAGAGAAGCAAAACACACCCAAACTCAACTGCAATTGGAGAAAAAAATTAAAAGATAGGAGGAGAGCCTGAGGGAAATTTGGAACAACATGAAACAAAGCAACATATGAATAATAGGGATGCCAGAACGACAGGAAGAGGAACAAGGGTTAGAAAACCTATTTGAAGAAATAATGTCAAAAAACTTCCTTGATGTGGGGAAGAAAAAAGTCACACAAGCACAGAGAATCCAAAACAAGATGAACCCGAAAAGATCCACACCGAGACACATTGTAATTACGATGGCAAATGTACAGGACAAAGAGAGAATCTTAAAGGCTACGGGAGAGAGACAGAAGCCCTAACCAGTTTGGCTCATTGGATAGAGCATTGGCCTGTGGACTGAAGGGTCCCAGGTTTGATTCCAGTCAAGGGCATGTACCTTGGTTGCGAGCACATCCCCAGTAGGGAGTGTGCAGGAGGCAGCTGATTGATATTTCTCTCTCATCAATGTTTCTAACTCTCTATCCCTCTCCCTCCCTCTCTGTAAAAAATCAATAAAATATATTTTAAAAAAGAGAGAGAGAGACAGAAAATTACATACAAGGGATCTCCCATTATATTATCAAATGTTTTCTCAACATAAACAGATCAGACCAGAAAGGAATGGAAGGAAATTTACAAAGTGATGAAAATCAAGGGACTGAATCCAAGAATATTCTATCCAGCAACTGAAGGGAAAATAAGGCGCTTCACAGATAAAAAAAGGCTAAGGGAGTTTATCACTACCAAGCTATCAATGCAAGAAATGCTAAAGGGAATGGTGTAAAAAGAAGAAATAAAAAGGAAAGAAGGAACACAGGCACAAAAAATAAAAATGGCTACAAACAAGTACCTATCAATAATAACTTTAAACATAAACAGACTAAATG